TCCCACGCCCGAATATAGGCGCACGGCCAATCGTCTTCAACGAGAACTCCGTTTCCGCCTCTCTGAATTTCGAGACCTCGAAAAGAGTAAGCTCATGGAGAATATCTCTCCCTCTCATACAGCGTACTATCAGATGGCAAGAGCCCTCCGCATAGACGCTATCTTCCACACTCCCCCTCTCTCCCGTCCCGACGGTACGGTAGCCTTCGAGGACGAGGAAAAGGCTGAGTGCTTTGCAGACAGCATTGCCGCTCAATGCTCTCCTAGCTCTCAACCCGTAGACCCCTCACACGTCCAGGCAGTGGAGGATGAGGTCCGCCGCCGGAACTCGCCCCCTACAGCCTCCGAACCTATCTCTGTGTCCAATGATGAGCTTTCATCCCTCATCAAAGGACTTAAGCCTAAAAAGGCTCCGGGCGCGGATGGCATCTCCAACCAAGCCCTAAAAAACTTTCCTGAGCAGGTGCTAACCCTTTTATCTATTATCTTCAATGCCTGCTTCAACCTTAGTTACTTTCCCACTACGTGGAAAGAGGCAACTGTGATTGGTATTCCCAAGCCAGCCAAGCCTCTTAATCTCCCCTCCAGTCATCGTCCCATTAGCCTCCTCAAGGCCATGGGCAAGCTCTTTGAAAGAGTCATTCAAAATCGCATGAGGCGCCATCTGTTTCCCACAGACGGTGACCCTCTTATCATTCCCCATCAATTCGGTTTCCGAGCGAAACACTCCTGCCCCCAACAAGTTCACCGTATTGTGGAATATATCCTCAGCGGTTTTTATCCCCGTCGTCATAAGACTATCGCGGTCTTTTTCGACATCGCCAAAGCCTTCGATAGAGTATGGCATACAGGCCTTATCTACAAACTATACAAAATAGGTCTCCCCGATCGTCTAGTACGTCTCGTGGCCTCTTATCTTAATCATCGTACCTTTCGTTTTAGACACGAAGGCACGCTATCTTCACAGCGCCCCATCAAAGCTGGTGTCCCTCAGGGCTCAGTTCTTGCTCCTCTGCTGTACATACTGTTCACCAACGACATTCCCATTCCGCCGAAAGGTGTTCAGCTCTCCTCTTCGCAGACGACACTGCTCTCTACTGCAAAGGTATCTCGCTACCTTTCATACGGAACAAGGTCCAAAAGTCAGTTGATGACCTAGGAGCTTGGTTCAAAAAATGGCGCATCGATGTGAACCCGGAGAAGAGCTCCGCCGTTCATTTCGATTATAAACGACGCCGTCTCAAAAACACTCCACCAATACGTATGCTAGGGACCCCTGTCCCCTGGCATACGTCTGCCAAATATTTAGGTGTCACTCTAGACACAGGGCTAACTTTCAGGCCCCACGTCAAAAGAGTAACCCGTCACGCACGTTTTTACCTGAATAGGCTCAACAGTATGTTGGGCCGACACAGTAAAATGTCCCTCAGAAACAAGCGTACCCTTTATAAGGTCTGTATACGACCAGTCATGTCCTACGCGGGCCCCATTTTCGCCCACTCTAACCCTAAAATTATTAATGAACTCCAAGTAGTTCAAAACCTTTTCTGTCGTCGAGCTGCGAACGCACCTTGGTACGTCCGCAATGCCGACCTTCATCGGGACCTAGGGCTCCCTACAATTCAACAATTCCTTAAAAAACTCTCTGAGAACTTCTTCAAAGCCTCAGAGTCGCATTCCAATCATTTTATTCGTGAGGCTGCTAATTATGCAGCCCCACTCCCCTCCCGCTATAGCGTCCGCAGGCCGAGGAACTCCCTCTCGGACCCGCCTAATAAACTTTCAAACGACCTGAACTGCCTCCTGGCGGCTCAGGCCAACTCTAATTAAGTTATTCATAATTAATTTGCCTTCGTAGGCACTCCCTCAGCGGCTAATAGCCGCCTGCGCCCTCTTTTCCCAAAAGAGGGTCGCTTCCGATACGGCATAAGAAGCTTTAAACAGCTAGTTGCCAGTCCCTAAAGGCGGTTTTAGTGGGTATCACTTAGGTTCCCCAGTAGGTAGTCACAGTGAGTCCCACATAACCACGATAGACCGGCTGTCGTGGTATGCGTAATGCATTTCCGCCTCCCTCCGGGGTAGCCCTTTTCCAATTGCTTCGGGCGCAAAAAAAAAAAAAAAAAGAACGGTCGGCAGTCGCTCTCCAGCCACCGAAAGAAGACAACAGCAAGAAAAAGTAAAAGTTCCTCCTCATCGCCGCTTGTCTCCAGTTTAAGCAAGACCAGCCCGTTTTTATTCATTTTTCGAACGGCGTTACGGCGATCCGTAACAAGGATAAGGGTGACAAACGAGCACTCAGTCCACCTGATGGTAAGTGGTTGCTGTGGTCTGTAGACCGATCTACATCTATCTTCGAATAACAATCAAAATGCAAATGCGTTGTCACCCGTGAGGACTAAGATGGAATGCCTCGTTTCCAGTAAAAAGGTTCTCCGGTTGTCTACACTCACCATACGAAACACAGCAGCGTTAAGCTGCTATTTTACGCTGTTATTCTGTTAGAGCGTGGTCCTTCCCTGGTCGAGCGGACTCATTCGTGCTACAACCATAATATAGCTGCAGCATGGCTCTACCACGTAAAAAAATATGTATAAAAATGAACGGTTTTATCTCATGGCATTATCAGGATATAATAACTAGAACAATGAACATACAGCCTATAAAGTTCACTGCTGAATGTAGCCTGTACAGTCAACATACCAATTTCAGTATCAGTAACGGTGCACTGATACTGAAACCGGTCCAGTGTTTCATAATATTCGCATCATCATAATAAATATATTGTGTACGTGAAATATGTATCGTATACTGGGTCGGATCAATCGGGGAAACACCACGCTTGTTCAGAATAACATTAACGTTAATACAGCATAATGTTTCGGACTGTGATTGATTAGGCGTTCCATCTTAGTCTTTAAGGATGACAGTGCATATGCATTTTGATCCTTAATTGAAGATATGAACCAGGTGGAACTTTTCTGTCTAGTCTGGATATTTACGAACCCCCTACCTATTTCTATCGTCAAATATCAGTGCACCCACTGCAGTGTTCTCATCTGAAGAGTAAGAGTCAGTAAAATTTCAGGCTACGAAGTAACCTATCTTAGTACTCTGACATGCTAACGAAACTGTAGCCTCCTTTATTTGCTATTGGTTGCATCAGGTGGACTAACTGTAAGTTAAATTTTTATAAAAAAATAATAGTAAGTAACTACTAGTGACATGAAATCCACATCAGTAAAGCATATAACACATACGGTATAATAGGAGATAGTAGATTCCCAAAAACATGCGTAATGAGCTGCAGAGAATGTGTCATTATACAAGGTCTGGAGGGTTCTGTAGGCCCTTTGCGTGTAATTTGTCCATATTCTGCATGTGTACATGTAAGCACAACACTTCCTGTATAATATAAGGTAGATAAGACAGCTAATTAATTTAATCATCTTTAATATAATAGATTTCCGCAAAGTTACAACTAATTAAATAGCAAGTAAATTTAAGCGGGTACATCCCACTACCAATATCATATATATATGTAGTACTGACTTTTATCGTATTACACGTATCCCTTAACTTGACAAACATTATGATGTCATTATTTTTATATTTCTATCATATATTTGGGTTGATAGGTACTAAATTGACAATTAAAATATAAATAAAAAATTCTGCCATATTTAGTAGCCAGACATTCATCTTTGAAAATCCATGTGCACTATAGGACACATTGCTGGGTAGGTAGTAAATGAAAATATTTCTTGTTTTATAGAATAATTTATGTATTTACTGTTTTAAACATATAATATCTATATGTAATTATTTAAAATCACTGTCTTCAATTTAATGTAGGAACATAACTTCAACTTCTTTATTTTAATTGACTTTTTGACCACCACATTCACACAGTTATCGATAATTATACCTAATTATATCGATAAATATACCTATAGATAATTACAAAATAAAAATAATAAAGCGTAATAATATGACAACATTATTACATAATGCAGTCTTATAATCTATGAGATCAATCAATAAATTTAAACATAAAAAGACACATGAAAATAAAAAATACAAGTGACTACAACTGGTAAGTTGGTCATAAGTATTACCAAATTACTATTTTGGATAATTACATTATTTCTGGCGGTAATTATAAAACAATTACGATCTTCAACTAACCAAAGCTGCACTTGGCATTCATTACATATAAATTTAGTTTGACCCATGATACAAAGCTTACATCGCACTTTGGATGTAAATGATGGCATGTGACCCATCGTCGTGATCGTAACGCATGTCCATCTGATTTTCAGAAGTCACAAATTTTTTTACTTCTGTTTACGTACTTTAAACAACTCGGTTCAAAGTATTAAGGTTGTCAGCTATCGCGCATCTGATTTTCTTGAGCTTCATAGGTATCGGACATTTAGTTTCACGTCGATACATGATACGCAAAAGCTCCGCGACCTCGTTTTTTTAAAATTTTATCAAAAGGAAGCATTTGTCTCCTCCACGCAAACGATATGCTCTCACTGTTCCCAAAGAAAATATCCCGTACTCTGGCAAACGTACGACACCCATGAGGATATTAGTAGCAATAAAATTCTTTACTTCATCCAAAGTCAAATTCATGTCCTTTATTTGCATATGATATAAATTACTTTCTCGAACTATCAATTCAAATTAGCCAACGGTAATTTTGTTAACCGACAAAAAAACGGAGGTTCTCAAGTCGACGTGTATATTTTTTTATGTATGACCACGCATAACTTTTTTCAGAGTAGTCCGATTTTGATAATTCTTTTTTTATTGGATAGGGTATACCTCGAAATTGGTCCCATATAAATTTGGAAAAAAAATGTCTACCCTAAGGGTAGGAAAATAGGGTTGATTTATTTTTTACTCACAGATTTTAATTTTAAGTGGTGTATTACATTACATAATAATTACATTACATTACAAAAAAACCTCTCGATGAATGAGCTTTAGACCTATCAGTCTCTTGTGTGTAGACCTCTCAGTCTCTGCATTTCTGCTAAAGCTCGTTCATCGTGAGGTTTGTGTAATACCTTATTTGGCTCTAGATCAGATATAGCAATACCCTCAAGTGTTTTTACTCTACTCAGTGCCACATATGCCTGCCCTTTGGCAAACACTTTCTTTCCGAGGTCGATTACTGCTTTATCAAGGGTCGTACCTTGTAATTTGTGAACTGTGACGGCCCAGCATAAAATTATCGGCAACATCCTGCGCTCAATATCGCCATAACCCTTCGTACCTTGAAAAGTTGCCACCACTGAAGGTATGGCGACACAACCATCGCTATCTTTTAGTCTGCTTCCTATGCTTTCATCGTCAAATTTTACTAATACGCAATCTGGTAATTCTCCTTCTTCTAGTTGATCCCTGCGTAGTGATGGCCATTTTATTATTTTTATAATACCCATAGCACCATTGACGAGCCCGTCGGATACTGATATGTTACGTCTCAACATCACACGAGATTCGACAGCTAATTTTACCTCAGATTAAAAGTCAACCACAATTATTCACATCTTTTGGAACAACATTATCTGGAGGTTTCTTTCCATAGGTAGCAACTTCACGAGACTCATCTATGGAACGGATTGTATAGACGCGATTTTGTTTTGAATTTATAGCTGTCATCTCATTATTGTATTCGTCAACTTGTTTGACGGTCGGGAATATTCGAACCACAACACCATCCTTAAACTCTTCATCTAAATCCACCATTCGCCTCTGACAGAGCAATTCCAGTTGACTTGTTGTCAATTCGCCTACGCGTAAATTGTTTAACAGGTCAACAAACTCTATATCATTTCGTTGTCTCATATTGATCGTTAATTCGCAGAATGAAAATGCGTGCCATAAATTAACTTCTGCAGCATTCCAAAGTGGCTGGACAAAGCACCAATGTCCTTTTACAGGGGGCAGTTGCATGATGTCTCCAAAGAGAACAATATTTATGCCACCAAACAACTTATCATTGTTTTTGTATTCCTGTAAACGCATATGAATCATTCGTAAGTTCTCGTAAGAAACCATTGATACTTCGTCAATCACTAACCAACTTGTGTTACGCCATTTACGTCTTTCTTGTTCAAGCTTTTCACCAGTTAAGCGTCTATATGCAGTTGAATTACCTGTTTCGATGGGAAGAGAAAAAAGAGAATGCAATGTTTTCCCAAGTACCTGGCGGGCGGCGACACCAGTCAATGAACCTACCTCAACAAATTTAGGCTTTAGAAGCAAATCAACTGTAGGCGCATAACACCTCTTAATGTGCGCCACGAGTAATTTTAAAACAAATGATTTGCCACTGCCAGCTCCTCCAGTTATAAAAAGGAACAACTTTTCATCATCACCATGTAAATCTTTTTCAATGGCCGTAGAAATTCTTTGAAATAAATCCTTCTGCTGTATGTTTAGACCTCTAATATTATTTAAAAAGATATCATCAGGCATTGCACCTCTTTCTTCTACATCTTCACAGTAGTCGTCCTGATTTTGGATAATATGTTCATCGACGTTTATAATTTGATCGTCCCTGATATTTTTGAAACCCGTTTCTCGAGGAACATTTTCGCAACACGTTTTACGTGCAACATTTAAAGCAATTGCCTGGGCAAGTGCAAGTGCTTGTTGAATGACTTGTTCTGCATGAGCGAAATCTTCGGTACTAACGTTAGTCAACAAAGGCGTTAATTCGTCTTTTCGTCTAAGAAAACAAGATTCTGGAGTCTCGTCTTCCAACATTAGTTGGTTTTCATCGCGAAATGGAATATGGCAAACAATTAAGCTGTAATAATACCCATCTTTGTCACTATTAAGTGTGTAGTAACGTGTACGTAACACAGCTGGCTTATTTCTTACTCGCATGCGTGAAGCATCCCTCACTCGTATATATCTTATTCTTATAGGCCCATCAACAGGTTCTCTCAGTTCAATATCACCATCTTCCTCACTCGACATAATATTTGAAATCGTCTCATAACGCACAGCAAATTCTGCTTGACTAATGTTTTCTAGCTCATCAGGCCTCAACACGTAACGGTTAAATATGTTGTTGTATATTGTAGTTTCATCACCTTCAAATCGCAATAAACGAAAGCGTTGATTTGGCATGCAGCTATTCACAAATATTGTTTTACGAGAACTCATTTTAAGCGGCAGGTGGCAAAGACGATATGCACATTCGGGAGCACTTACCAATCGGTGCGAGAGTATTGCCATAGAGACCGCAAACAGTTGGCTCCACACTGTGCCACCCCGTCTTTTAGCTTTTGTAATTGCTTGGCGTACAACGTCTCCAGTGTCGTGAGGTTCACACTTACTCGCATATTTTACAACATAATACGCGACGGCAGAGATATTTCCGCATGGCTGAATGTCCATGTTTCCTCCCCAAAGACTAAGAATTTCAGGACTATAGTTATTTACCATAGTTTCTTGAGAAGTTCTTCGCAAGATGCAAAACCGACCGTTGTTGGTAAGTGCTTCATCAGGACCCAAACATAAGGTAGCGTCACTTGGAGCCCTGGGAAACCCAAAACGACAACAATGGTTGGTACGATCTTTGTAGCAGGTGTTGGTATGTCTATGCATTTGGACATTTTGGACTAGATTTAATAACTCTTTGTTATGGGGGTTCAAAGAACACGAAATAACTCTTTCAATTACACTTATTCCTTCATTTGTCGAAAAATCAGGAATGTTTTCACACCACACTAACATGTGCAAGTGTGGACTTCCTCTATTCTGGAATTCTATCCTATACCAATAGTCTAGGATACTTCCACCTAAGCAGACATTATTTTGTTTTAAATAACGCATAAGAGCATTAACTCTTGTTGAGAATTGTCTGGCAACAACCACTGGATATTTTTGCACCAATTTTAGTCGTTCAGGAAATGTTACGTTATCTATATCATTTACATTGCGTTCATCTGCAATGAGCAAAGCTTTTATCATATCCGGCCAGTTGAGATCATTACAGAAAAGGTCATAAACCAGGTAGGAGGCCCTAGACTTCTTACCATAGCAATCAACTCCGAACAACATCGTCTCCAGTACGAAGCAGACCCTCGCACATTTCTCATAGTCAGATATATATTGTCAATCAGTCCGTGGGGTGTAAATTCTCCTTGCCCTTGACGCATTCTGCATTAAACTGACACACTAGCTTTAGCTCGAAAATACTCGACTACAGACAATGCAAAAAATAAATAATCATTTCTCTGGAACCTTTTATCATTACTCATTACACGAGCTTGGAAGTAGTCTAATAGGGTAATCGAAATCTCTCTTTCTTCACCAAATCCATTTTTTCCGTCAGGGAATAAAAAGTACCAGCCCAACTCTTCCATTCTTCTTTCACGTTCATAATTTAGGGGCGGTGCTGTTTTTCTTTTAACTTCTTGTAGTCTTACTTCATCCTCTGAGTTAGGGTTGTCTATGGTAACAACACTGTCCAAATTAGGTATTCTTTCATCTATATTCCTAAGCATACTGGTTGTGAAAATATATCTCGTTTCTGTATTATAATATTGCTGTAATTGTGGGTCTATTAAATCTTTTTCCATGTTATTAATATTTTCTTTTGGCGGTTGTTGCACGATAATAGATGTATGCAGATCTTGCGGCTGGTGACAATTAGATGATTGAAGTCGTTGTTGAATATCTGAAGATGTTTCTCTATGTTGCTGCAACCGTTCTACTTGATTTTCGGGTGTTATCGTAAGTGGTGTCAGTGAAAAAACATTCTGAGTCAACACATTGACAGATGTGTTTTTAATGAATAAATTTTCTACGCACGATAATATGCAAATCATGGATACTAGTAGATCGTATACAACATGAAGTACCTCTCGTTCGAGCTTTGAAACCTTTTGGACCTCGCGCGTGGGAGTCAAACTACCAGTAAGAAATATCTTCAGGCTCTTGTCTACAATGGACGGCTACAGTTGTATTATTCAGCGTAAGTATGGCGTAACTGTGATCCCTAAATACATTTATTAGAGCGTTTGTTTTTTTTTTTTAAATTTAATAAAAAAAAGCAATTTGTTAAATTGGGAAATCCTTCTTCACTATTGTCGTTATCTACGTGACCATTAAACGCTGATTCATGACGAACATTGATATCAACTTTTCGATTGTTATATGTGATATTAGGTAAAAGCTCAGTTGCAGCCAAATATTCCATATGTGCTTCTTCGGGATTGGGGTTAGCCCGAGCCGCAATACAGTCTCTATAATATTTATCTCCTACCAATAACATGTAATCTATGTCGCTTTTGCACCAATTATTAGGATTGATCAGAGAAAATGCCACACTAGCAACAGTTGCGATCCCTGTGCATTGCCGACCACGTGAATCTGGACTAAATCGTTCATTGTCCTGATGAAAAGAACCATGTAATATAGATACATTGTTACTCAAGGCAGTATAGTTATTTGTAGGTATAGTTGACCGTTCAGCAATTGGTTCTTCACTATCATGACCATGTGCAGGTTCATCAGCAATTTGTGTTATCGTAGAAATATCGATCACAGTAGGAAAATATACACGAACATCTTTATAGAGTGCATTATTCATTAGAAGCCACTGCAATGCTAATTAAAGTTTACCTACATCTATTTGAAACTCCCTAGAATGTTCTAAATTTTCACGACTTTCTACTACGAACACTAATCCAGTTTGATTAGGTTCAAGCGGAAGTTGCTCCGCTAGCTCGACCACATCCTGAGCAAAAATAATTGCCTGCCCTTTGCACCAGTCTTGGCTCAAACGATTTTGAACTTTTATTATTTTAAGAATTGGCACTACTCTGCAAATAAAACGTTTCTCAATTTCCGATAAGTCATCGATTTCTGTAGGTATTGCAGCTACCGACATTTTATTCCAATAGGCCTGCGGTGGAGTATTATGTTTTTTAATATTATTTGAGCATCGTGAACAAGTAATAATATTACCTAAAGCTACCAATTCATTAGGCAAAATAGAGCCTAAATTTGTAGTTTGCAATATCGTACGTTGCTGAGGATACAAACTTTTTTTGCATATTGAACACGGCAAGTCAGCATAAAGATTAATCGCTTTTTTAAAATTTTCTGCATTACACTGGCTTCTTCGCTCCCAAGCCGCTTGTCGCATGGCGCTCAAACGATTAGTTCTCTCCTCGGGAGTTTCGTGAAGTATCACCATTGCAGAACAGTTACGGGCAGTATCCAAACGTAGCAAATGTCCGTCTTCAGTTTCATTTGAAAGTCGCTCTCTGATCAGACCTAAACGATGAGCGCGTTGCTCTTCATATTCTTGCGATAACCTATCGTTAATGTAGCTTCTCATCTTCGGCAGTCTTTCCTCGCGCTCATCTAAACTCTCCTGTGAACGTGTTAATCTAATTCTCTTTCTATTTGCTTCCAACCTTTTATTTTTCTCATCATTAGATTCTTCTAAATATCTTTTTCTCATTCGAGCAGCATTTTTTGTAGGCCTACCCATGGTGGTATATAAAGCCTTTATTTTTAAAGTATTTATATTATACAACAAATAATAGTTAAAGTAGTATTATATAACAGTTAATAGTTAAGGTAGGTAGCTAATTTGAAAGTAATTAAAAATTAAGCATGTAGTAATTATTAGATTATAACCACGAAAAATTGTAAAATAAAAACTTTTTAACAAAAAAATTAAACCGCCGAAATAACTGAAAAGCAAAAAATAATAAACCTTTTTTATTTAACCTTAATAAATAAGTTCTTAAACTAATTTAAGTATACATAAGTATATATTTTTGTAATTATTTTGAGTTTTTAATTAACCTTAATAACTAACTTCTAAAACTAATGTAAGTATACCTAAGTAATTTTGAGTCGGCGCCAAACAATCAATGAACAAAGAACACTAAATTACCTTAAATTAAAAGAAATAACCAAAACAAAATCAAATGAAATCTTCAGCGATAAACATTAATATTCCAAAAAATGCGCTCTCTGGACGACCACTCGCAACGACGTGTGCCCTTACGTATGTGCCCGTTCGGGTTGCTGTCTCGCTGAAAATAACTTCGTGAACGCTCGGCGTTTTCCGGGCGAGCCGCGCCGAGCATCACGCTTTATGTAATTAATTAATTTGCTTGTTTGGCGCTGAATCAAAATTACTTAGGTATACTTACATTAGTTTTAGAAGTTAGTTATTAAGGTTAATTAAAAACTCAAAATAATTACAAAAATATATACTTATGTATAATTAAATTAGTTTAAGAACTTATTTATTAAGGTTAAATAAAAAAGGTTTATTATTTTTTGCTTTTCAGTTTTTTCGGCGGTTTAATTTATTTGTTAAAAAGTTTTTATTTCAGAAGGTTTGTTGAATATTTTATCACTGATTTCAGCAGTGTATATAAATCTTGCAGTTGTCCAATTAACTACAATCTTGTTGACTAGGTACACGCTTTTGCTGGATCGAGTAGCATTTGATGGTGATGGTACGGATAATATATATATATATATATGTGTGTAGAGCTATTGGCTATTGAAGAGATCGGTGAAGGTGTCGCTGGGACTATTACATTAGTTGGAGAAGCAGCAATACTGGACATAGACAAATTACTCAGCAAACTCATGAACCTCGTAACATCCGTCATATTTTCGGCCGGGACTAATACCTCACTGTAGTCGTCTTCACTATCCGAAGGTACGTGCAGATTTTCTAGTGATGATGGCAATAAAGGTGGTATCAAGCTGTCATCGTTGTCAGAATCATGTCCAGTTATTTCGCCATCCGATGAGTCGCTACTCTCAATATCCGATCTTGCTTCTGGTTTTGGGACCAACGCCAATATTCTTTGAGCCCTACCATCACCATCCGTACCATCACCATCAATACCGGCCTAAAAATTAAGAAACCATTATATACAGATAAATAAATACGATGTACACTCTAGTGTTGTAAGTTTGGCAATGTTTCCTATAATGTACACTCTAAAAGTCAGGTCATAGTACAGGGTCTTGGCGATGTGCATTTGTCGATACATGAACATTAACAGTAATATTTTAGAAAGAAAATATTATTGTTCGATCAAAATCTTTTGCATAATCAAAACAATATACATTCAATTACATATTTATTACATGTATCTGTCGTAACAACTATATTTTGATAGGATTTTAATCGATTCTTACCTTATAACTCGTAGACGCACGCGCATGTTACGCTATTTTGCGATCTACTAAGTTCGAATATTGCCAGACGTAATAAATAATATTTTTACTGCTGAAGAGAAGTATTCTATATACTAAATAGAATTTAATTTTAGTCTAAATCAGCTAAAATATTTCCCAATAATTTTTTTAAGAACATGTGCATTATTAGATACGTTACCAAGTTAAGGGTTATGCTCGTTGGGCCGCGTATGCCTCACAAACACTTAAAATTTTTACCATATCATCTGTAAAATTTATATTTTTTACGCGTTTTTCGTCAATATAGCATCTGATGTGTATGCTGCTGAACGGCCTTTATCAGCTCCTTCATGTAGAGATTAAAGTGCGCTGGTAGTATTAACTGGGCCTGCCTCACCGTGCCACAGTATAAGGCTTGGACAACATTATGGTCCATCTAACTAACGTAACAACAATTTTAATTAATAATAAACTGAAGTAAAGTCTACCTTATTTTAAGTGGCTGCAGTCCATTGGCATAAATCGTTGACGGGAAAAATCGTTAAACCGTCGGAACCGTCAATCAGTCAGAACGGGATTATAATAAACGAGTAAGTTTTTTTTAACGCAAAAAAAAAAAAACAGAACTGATTCCATTCTCCACATACACGTGAATCAAAAATTACCCTAGCGATACAGAAAATTATTCTACCACTTAATTAGAAAGTGGCTCATTTGCCCGCAACGTGGGTCATAAATCTTGTGCCCGCACACCGACATGCAATTATTGTCGCCGCTCATCCGCAAAACGACGTTAATGAACCCTGATTTCTACATTATGCGTTATTTATCTACAAACATTCATTTTACTTCATTCCATCTACAAGATAACTATT